GGCTGCTTGCATCACAGTCATTGACTTCACCTGCTGTGGTACAACGTCAAACACATAAAAAACATCTCTTGGGCCTGGCCGCATGGCCTAGTGGCTAAAGTCCTCACCTTGAACGTGCTGGGATCCCATATGGGTATTGGTTCTAATCCCGGCAGCTTCACTTCCCATCCAGCTCCCTGCTTGTGGCCTGGGAAAGCAGTTGAGGATGGCCCAAAGCTTTGGGACCCTGCACCCGCGTGGAATACCTGGAAGAAGTTTCTGGCTCCTGGCTTCGAATGGGCATAGCATCGGCCGTTGCGCTCACTTGGGGAGTGAATCATCGGACGGAAGATCTTCCTCTCTGTCTTTCCTCCTCTCTGTATGTCTGACTTTCCAGTAAATAAATAAATCTTTAAAAAAATCACAATCTCTAAAAAAGGAAGATATCAAGGCAATAAAAAGATTAAAACATTTTCACAGACATTTCTCAGCTGGGAACATACAAAGAGCTCTCTGGCATCTGAAAAGATGCATAACCCCTTTCATCAGCAGAGCGATGCCAATCACATCATATTCAGCCTATTTGTGAAGAGCAAGAAGCTTCAGAGGGAGTTAGAAATGGCATGGGTAAACGGGCCTCACCTGTATGTTGGCGGCAGTAAAAACGGTTCATAATCCCGGTTAACACACAACTTGATAATATCGGTCAAAATCAAAACCGCAAGTATCCACACCCTGGGACTTAGGACTTTCACATCTAGGAAGCAGCACTGCCTGCCTGCACACAGTGAAGTGAGAAAGCTCAGGCTGCTCTCTGGAGCCCTTCTTGCGTTCGGTAGAGTCAGAAAGTAGAGTCAACAGAGGAACGGTTAAATTCTGATATACCTTGCAGCTGCTCTAACCTGGGCATCCCATGTGAGCTCTGGTTCAGGTCCCAGCTGCTCCACTTCCCATCCAGCTCCCTGATGGCCTGGGAGAGCAGAACAGGATGCTTTGAGTCCTTCAACACCTGCGCCCACATGGGAGACCTGGAAGAAGCTCCTGGATTCTGGCTGGTGGAGACCTACTCCAGTTCTGGCTGCTGGGACCATTTTGGGGAGTGAGCCTGTGGGTGGAACATCTCTCAGTCTCTTCTTCTCTCTGTAACTCTTTCAAGTAAAATAAATTAATCTTTTTTTTTTAAGATTTAAAAATTTTTATTGGAAAGTTAGATATGTAGAGAGAGGAGAAGAGACAGAGAGAAAGATCTTCCGTCTGATGATTCACTCCCCAAGTGAGCGCAATGGCCAGTGCTGTGCTGATTTGAAGGCAGGAGCCAGGAACTTCCTCCAGTTCTCCCATGTGAGTGCAGGGTTCCAAGACTTTGGGCTGTCCTCGACTGCTTTCCCAGGCCACAAGCAGGGAGCTGGATGGGAAGTGAAGCTGCTGGGATTAGAACCAATGCCCATATGGGATCCTAGCGCATACAAGGTGAGGACTTTAGCCACTATGCCGCCGTGCTGGTCCCAAATAAATTAATCTTTTTTTTAAGATTTATTTTTTATTTTTATTGGAAAGGCAGATATACAGAGAGGAGAGACAGAGAGGAATATCTTCCATCTGATGTTTCACTCCCCAAGTGAGCGCAATGGCTGATGCTATGCCGATCTGAAGCCAGGAGCCAGGAACTTCTTCTGGGTATCCCACGCGGGAACAGGGTCCCAAAGCTTTGGGCCGTCCTCGACTGCTTTCCTGGGCCACAAGCAGGGAGCTGGATGGGAAGTGAAGCTGCCGGGATTAGAACCAGCGCCCATATGGGATCCCGGGCGTGCAAGGCGAGGACCTTAACCACTGCGCCATTCCCAAATAAATTAATCTTTAAAAAAAATGTAAAGAATGAGAAATTGAGCACACGTTCACCTTCCTTGGCCAGCTCTCCAGCCCTAGCTGAGTTTGTGCCAGGATTGGTTGGTGCTGTGAAGAGCACTGCCCAGCAGCCATTCCACTCACAGCCTGTGTATTCCTCATGGTTTAGGTCTCGCTTTTGCTAGCTGCGAGCAGGACACAGAAGGTCCCCCAAATCAATCACCAGTTGGGTCAGCTTTGACTCATGTTCAGCTTATGAGTCAGATCAGGATCGACCTGACTGCCTTCCAACCCAACTTCTGGATTGGGAGTCGCCGGAAGAGGAAGACAGCCTTATATTACAGCGTGGTCTCCAGAGTTGATGGGCTCACCAGCGGTGCTTGTTAGAAATCAACTTGGGTAACTCCTCCTTCCCAGTCTCCCTCTGGCCCTGGGGCATCTGTATCTACCAGCCCCACAGGCCACAACAGTGCCCTCCTACTCCCGAAGCAGGTCAACACGGAAGCTGGCATCTCTAGTTATGCAAGTAGCTTCTTTTTCCAAGTGTAACTCACCTTGCCTCTATTTTGGGTCTTCATTGTACCTGCTGGCAGAAAACATTCTTACTGCCAGATAAGCTCTGTTCCCTCTGCTCTGCTCCCACCACCAGTCCAAATCTGAATTTCCAGCTTGTGTTGGGTTCCTGGGGCCAGGTGAGGAGGAGCTTTTCTCTCTGGGTTGGATCTGCCTGGGTCTCCCACCTCCATTGCGGTTTTATTGAGGTTGTTTCTGCCCCCAGGATGTAGGTGCCAGCTTTCTGAGCCACATTCAGGCCTTGGGACTTTGGGGCCCTGGACTCAACCAGGGTAAAATGAGGAGCATCCCAGATACAATGTACCCCACCACCACCATCAGGCCTGGCTTTGCCCTCAGGTTCCCTCCAGCTGGGGGCTCTGTCCATTTAAACCAGCCTCCTTCCAACTCACTCCATGTTGGCCTGTGAACTTTAAAGCCTGGGCCTCGGCTTTGTTCTCTGACTACAAATACATCTCGGGAGCCAAAAAAGCAAGAGCCTCCCCCCACCTCAGGGAGAGTGGCTGAGCTTCCATGGGGTTGTGTCCCTGCATCCAGCACATGCGCTCCCTGCTCACTCACCTCCCCCAGACAGCTGGGAAATGACACCTCTGGTGACAGAGCCATTCCCCAGGCTTGTGCTGCTGGGGGTGGGGGTGCTGCAGTGGAGGAGGATCTCACAGGGCCTGCGTGGGGGAGGGAAGGAGCCAGGCCCTCGTTTGTGTAAGACATCCACGCCACCAGGGTCCCTCCCCCTCCTGCGGGAAAAGTGTGAGCACTCCCCTACCCCACAGCCGAAGGGATGAAGCCGATGATGATGATGATGATGATGAGACAAAATGCTTCTTGTCTCCCTCAGGCTCACTTTGACCCTGCCTGCTCCAGATGGAAAACTCTCCACCCCCACCCTGGGGCCCTGTCCCACTCCCCTCCCACCACCAACAAGCTGGGTGGGTGTAGGTCCAACTGCTTGTCTGTCTGGAGGATCTAAATAAAGCTCAGTGAGGAATAGGGGGTCTTGACCCATCTCTCCCATATCTGTCTCAGGGTCCTGTGTATGCAGTGTGTGTCTCTGGGGTTCCCCACGGCAAGTGGGCAAGTGGCATCCTATAATAGGGCGCCTGCACGTGTCCCTCTGGCCCACCAGTTCTGTCCTTGGCACCCAGAATTCTCTCCAGGTCTGGGAGCAGCTGACCCCAGCCTGGGGGCAGAGCTGGGGTTCTGGCCAGCTGCAGCCTGCAAGGGAAGCGAAGCTGTCCCGGGTGGGGTCAGGGAGCAGCCTGTGCCCTTCCCCCTGGGGTTTTTACAGCCTGTGGTTCTTCCAGAAAAGAAAAGGGGGAACCTTGGTGGGAGGTGGTGTGGGGGAAAAGTCTTCCTCATCTGCTTTCCCTCCTGTCCTCTTTCCCGAGACAAGTCACAGGTAGCATCCACTTCCATCACCCTGCTCCGCCCTAGCAGGAGGGTCCGCATCCTGCACCTGCCCCCAACCCCACACACCATCCCGACACGCAGCCCGTTGTTAGGGCGGCCAAAGAGGCGGCTTGGAGACCCGGCTAGGGCGACATCTCGGGGCCTCTGGGGTGCGGAATGGTTGATCAGAGTTATGGGAGCTAGAGCATGTGGCTAGGGGTGGAAGTGTGGGGCCGGTAGCAGAGGGTTCGAGGCTAGCTGCAGAATAGCCAGGGCCAGGCGGCGGGAGGCTCGGGGGGCCCCGGGGGTGGACGCGGCGGGCCTCGGGGGGCCCCGGGGGTGGACGCGGCGGGCATCGGGGGGGGCCCCGGGGGTGGGCGCGGCGGGCATCGGGGGGGCCCCGGGGGTGGGCGCGGCGGGCATCGGGGGGGTCCCGGGGGTGGGCGCGGTGGATTTCGGGGGGCCCCGGGGGTGGGCGCGGGGGGCCCCGGGGGTGGGCGCGGCGGGCCTGGGGGGGCCCCGGGGGTGGGCGCGGTGGGTTTCGGGGGGCCCCGGGGGTGGACGCGGTGGGCGTGTGGGCCGCGGGACTCCGCCCTGGCGGGCCATCGCCCCGCCCCCGCCGCCGCGCTCGCAACGTGTCGCCTGCCGGGCCCCGCCTCCGCCCGCAGTGCCCGGATGCGGGTGACGTGCGGCCGCCATCTTCCCGTCCCGGGCAGCCAGCGCCAGTCGGAGCCAGCCCGAGCCGCCGCTGCCGCCATCACTGCCGCTGCCAAGTCCTCCGCCCGCTTGCCTCCGCCATGTGAGTCGGCCGCCCCACCGCCAGCACCGCGCGCTGCCCGGCCTCGGCCCGGGGTCCCAGGGACGGGCATTCTGCCGGGCGCCCTCCCGTGACTGCGCGGCCGGCCGGGGAGCCCCGCGGCTCGGGGCGATGGCCGCGCGGGAGGATGCGGACCCGGCGTCTGCCTTGCCCCGCCCCGCCCCTGTCACTGGTGTTGTTTTGACAGGCGGGGAAACTGAGGCTGGGAGGGGGGGAGGAGGGAGCCTCGCTCAAGGTCACGCGGCGGCGAGGGGCTGGGCAGGGAGCGGGGCTCCCGTCGGGTGGGCAGGAGGACGGGAGGGCCGGCCGAGGGACAGGTGGATGGGCGGAGCCCTGGCCGCGGGGCCTTAATCCTTCCCCGCTTCTCAGGTCCGCGACCGCTGCCACTGTCCCCCCTGCCGCCCCGGCCGGGGAGGGCGGCCCCCCGGCGCCCCCTCCCAATCTCACCAGCAACAGGAGACTGCAGCAGACCCAGGCCCAGGTGGATGAGGTGAGTGCGGGCCCCGACAAGGGCCCTGGGCAGGTTGGCATAAACAGGGGTGGTGCCCATCTGGGTTGGAGTTGGGGGTGGCGACGGTTGACAGCGGTGGCTTTAGGGACAAAGACAGACGGTGCCTCTGCCCCAGCTGTCTACGTCAGTGCACACTTGAAAGGGCTAGCTTGGGGTGTGCCAGCCCTGGGAAGGTGTGCCCCTGTGACTGCCAGGCTGTCTGAGGCTCTCAGATAGAGGGGGTTACTATGACTTGGGAGATGTCTGGTTGCCAGCACGCCCCTGATGGGTGCTCCTTGCATGTCCCCAGGTATTGCTCTAGGCATGTTCTCTGTCTGTCCTTGGCATGTTAACTTGACAGCGTCGGGGTTGCATGCTGGGCGTGCACCCTGGGCCTGCGTTCGAGGAGTGCCCTCTTTGAGGTGGACCTCGGCACACTCCCTGCTTCCTGGGCCCCTCCCCCAGGTGGTGGACATCATGAGGGTGAACGTGGACAAGGTTCTGGAGCGGGACCAGAAGCTGTCGGAGCTGGACGACCGTGCTGATGCGCTCCAGGCGGGGGCCTCCCAGTTTGAAACTAGTGCAGCCAAGCTCAAGCGCAAATACTGGTGGAAAAACCTCAAAGTAAGGGCCGGGGTGGGGCGAGGGGCGCAGGTAGGAGACCTGGTGGGTGGTTGGAAGGGTGGCCATTGATCTCACTGATCCTCCCCCCACCCCTCCAGATGATGATCATCTTGGGAGTGATTTGCGCCATCATCCTCATCATCATTATTGGTGAGTGGGGCAGGGGTGGCCTGGGTCCTTCTCTGGACAGGCTTTCCCTGTGGAGTGTGGGTTTGAAGGTCATTAGCCTAGTTTGCACTCATCAGCAAAAGACATAGAGCTGCTTAGGGAACGGTGATTCAGTGAGGGCCAGAGACCTCAGGTAGGCTGCCCTGTGCCTGGCTTTGCGTAACTTCAGATTTGGGCAATAGGAAAGCTGATGGGTTCCTCCTCCCCCCAACCCGACTGCTCGCCTCATCTCCTCTGAGGACCCATTGGGCCTCAGTGCCCAGCTTGGGGACCCTGGCATTGGGGCACGAGAAGGCAGATGGCCCAGGGACTGGAGACATAGATAGGAAGCCAAATGTTCTGCTGCTTGACAGCTGCTGGTTCCAGAGACCCTGAGAGGTAGGGGTGTGTGGAGGTGAGAGCCCAACCCCGCGAGAGGGGAAGGGACATGAGCCAGCCAGCTGGGGTGTGGGGAGGCCTGGAGCAGGGCCAGGCCTGACATACCACTCTTTCTCTCTTCCCCCTCTTCTTCCCCTTCCCTCTCTCCACAGTTTACTTCAGCACTTAAGTCCCTGAGGAGGCTGCCCTGCCTAGAGAAGGGCCTCTTCCCCCCAACCCCCAGCCATCCCTCCACCTCTCAGCCATATCTCTCAGCCCCTCCCCAGATCCGTGTGTGTGTGCGTGTGTGTCCGTGTGTGTGCCCCCTGTAAATAGCCAGCTGTTATTTATACATATATAATATTATATATATTTGGTCTGTTTGTAGTTTTATTACTAGAAGATTCTTTCCGGTTGTCCTTAACACTACTTCCTGAGCTGTACCCATCCTCTCCTCTCTTTCCCTCCTCCTGAGCCACCCCAAGCCCTTTCATTTGCATCTGCTATGCAATAGGCCCTCTCCTTGCCCTGAATCTAGCTGACCCTTCCTTCTCCCCTCCCCTCCTCTTGCCCCCATGCTCTCCTCCCACCAAATGGGGAAAGCAGCTGTCCAGGCCTCCCTCCATGCATCTTGTGTGCATCCATCGGGAGGCTCTGAGACTGACCTCACTGGGTCCTAAGAATCCCAAGATGTTCTGGGAGCTTCCAGCATATTATAATTAGCGTATCATTTGCACACCAACATCCCTTTGGGTTTCCTTGCTTTTTGTTCCATGGGTCTTCTTGGAAACTTTTTTTTTTTACTGAGAAGTTAGTCTCCAGTGGTCCTTGTATCACACTTTGATTTGCACGACATTACTTACAGGTGTGTGTGGCGGGGAGTCTGGGCTTTAGGGGAGCCAGGCTGCTCTGGTCCCCAGAATTGCCCACTCCCAGCCCCTCTAGTCCAGTTTGCCTCCCTTATCCCCATTTTCCAGACCTCTTGTGCCCTCCCCTCCCTCCCCCCAGCTGGCGTGGAAGTGTCTTGGAATTCAGTGTGTTATGATGGACCAATAATTCTGCCACTCGGGGTCTCCCTACATTCCTGTCCCCGGTTTTCATGTGGGGCACTCAGCCAACATTCCTGTGGGGTCTCCCTGCCTCCCATCTGCCTGATCCACCTCCTCCTCACCCCAGGAGAGTTGGGGGTTGGCCACAATCTGGTCTCTCTTGGGAGGAGTGGCTGCCAGTATGAGTGTGAGTTTTGGGGGGGGTCATCACTGCCTTGGGGAAGAGTGGGGCAGGGCAGAGAATCCCCCCAGTTCCTGCCTGAGATCTCCAGCCTCACCCCTGCTTGGGGTTGGACTGAAAACCCTCCTTCCTAATTTGGGGGTGTTGTCCCCATCACTGCCCAGCTCCTCTGACTACCCCCTCAATTCAGGGTGGGGTACTAGTCACTGCCAATGTGTGTATGGGACTTGGTGGGTGATGGGGGTCCTTGCTTCTCTTCAGGGCTATTGAGCCCTGAGAACGAGCAGGCCCCTCAGTGGGTGAAGTGATAGAGGGTCTAATGTCTTTTTAAATGGCACAATTTTAGGGGGCTGAGGATGTAGTCCCTTAGCTTGCCACTGGAGAGGGGCCCCAATTCTTCTTTCGCCCCCACTCCAGATTTTCTGTGTGGAGGGAGTGGGAGCAGGGAGATCTAAACTGTGGTGTGGAAGGGTAGGAGAGATGCTGGGGGTGGGGGTGCTGTGTTCTAGACTCCCCCATATTGTCCCAGTGTCCCCTGCCTCCCCTCTCCCCCCACCTCATGCCCCCAATTCTGTGGCGCATCCAGATTGTGAAAATGTACAATAAATGTGTAACAAGTAATTGAGTGGTGTCTCTTGTAAGCTCTTTTCCTAACCAGTGGGAAGGGTGTTGGACATTGGACCAGCAGGTGTAAGGCTCCTTGGCTTAGCTCCAGGCCCTGACCTTGGGCAGTGCACAATGCGATTCTCAAAGTGGCCACAGGGGGCACCAGGAGCTGAAGTGTCTAAGCCAACCACACAGTCCTGGGGTCTCACCCCCTTGTCTGGGGCCTGCTTCTGCCAGTTAACTTCATTATACCTCCACGGTTTCTTTAAGCACTCTAACTACTGGTTTATTTCTCAAGTAGCTGAAATAGCCAGGACTAGACCCATAAGAAGTCAGGAGCCCAGAGCTGCCCCTGGGTGTCCCATTTGGGTGCAGAGGCCCAAGCACGTGGGCCAACCTTTGCCTTCCCATGTGCATCAGGAAGGAACTGGATGAGCAGTGGATCAGCCAGGACTAGGACCTGCGCCCATACGGGACACTGACACACAAGTGGTGGCTTTAAGCACCTGCTCTGTCTGTTCCACGATTGACTCTTAAATGCTCTGCAGCCACTCCAGTGGTCATTCATTCTTAGGCCTGAAGTTCACGGTCACTTTTGGCAAAGCTTCTTTGTGCCTAGTAATGCCAATGTCCAGAAGGGGCAGCAGAGGCCAGCCTGGGTGTGGTACAGAGTGGGCTGGCAGTGGCCTGCTTCCCATGCATGATCCCTCTGGTGTGCCACCCCAGCACCCCTGTCCCCAGGCATTTTCACAGTGAGTACCGTGCCAGGTGAGTTCTGTGCAGCACCTTCTGTGGGTGGCAACGTGAAGACTTAGCAGCAGGAGAGACTCCTAATGGCGCCCCAAGCCTGTGGGCTCCTAACACTACTGGGGGTGCTGCGTCAAGCAGATGTTCATCAGGGCTAGGATGCAGCAGGATGAGCGGCTGATGGCATGACTGCTCCACCACCACCCACGTGGGCCATCTGGGGGAAGTGTTCCAGACCCAGCGCTGGCCATTGAGGCCGCTGGTGTGTGTGTGCGAGCGTGTTGGGGGGAAGCAGATGGAAGATCTCTTTCCCTCTCTCATTCAGCGTTCCAAATAAGTCTTAGGTGTTTTTTTTTTTTTTTTTCATCGAAACACCAACAAAAAAATACATTGCTTCTTGGCCTTTTGGCTACAGTCGAGTGTGAAACGCCAAAAAAGCTTCTTGTTTTTCAGATGGATACATTTTTTTTGTGTCCATAAGAAATTATTAAAATAACAGATTTTCAGAATCCTTCCCGGGGACAGCTTGAAGCGCTCAGGGAGTCCGTTATCACATGAACCTCAGAATCCTTCCAGACTTCGGGTTCCCACAGTTCACAGGATTCGTCTTCGTCACTCTCTTAGGGTCTAGGGTTCAGATCGTGGCCCCACGCTGAGTAATCCGGACACATTATGTAACTGAGCTGGCACTCCGCTCTTGGCGGGCGGGGCGGGTAGTGACTGGGCTGGCCTCGGGCCGGCTACAGCGCCGGGATGCCGGCACAGCGCCCTGTGGGCCCGTCCCGGCACAGCTCCCCCGGGCCACGCACCCCGTGAGCCCGGGACGCTCCCCGGGTCTGGCCGAGCCTCGGGCCACGCGAGGCCGGAGCCCCGGGGCCGTGTACGAGCTCGTCACGACCGGGGTTCGGCACCTACGCCTCCACCTAAGCCGCCGCCGCTTACGTCTGCGCCTGCGTGCAGCTCACGCTCACTGCGCCTGCGCACATGCAGCAGTCTGGAAAGTGTCGTCAAGGAAAATCCCCAGCTCCTGGGTAAACAAGTTGCCGCGTGAGGCCGCCGGCACGTGTCCTCTACAGCTCCGAAACCTTTCAGCCTATGAAAAGGTCGCGAGCGCCAGACTGGCACTTACGTCATGCACCCCTACAGCCAATAGGGGTTTCGGTGGTGGATGGGGGCGTGGCTTCCGGCCAGCCGACCAATGAGCGCGCGGGGGTGGCCCCTCCCGCACGTGGAGGGCTCACTGCCGGTTGGCACGCTAACCTGTGAGAAGATGACGGCGGTCCGAGGCGCCAATGGCGGCCGAGCGGGGGCCGAGCGGGCGGCACGCGGCGCGGGGCATGGGTCGGTGCCCGGCAGCCAATGAGCGGAGGGGGCGTGGCCGCCCGGCCGGTGGGCGGAGCGGGAGGAGCCGGTGGAGTCGCTAGGGTCCGTCCCCGCGTGAAGAAATTGGGGTTTGTGCGTGCTGGCGGAGCGGTGAGTGCCCGGGGGTGGGGAGACAGGAAGGCTTTTCCGGGATGGTGTGCCGAGCTGGGGGAGGGGTGAAGACGGGGCGCCGGCGTCCACCTGGAGGGCTGTCATGCGATCCTTCGCCGTCTCGGCGTGCCTGGACGCTCGGGAGGGCTCCACGCTGCCCCGGCCAGACGCTGGCCACAGGAGCCCCGCGGGCTGGCAGGTGCGGGCCTGGGAAGAGGCGGGACACTCACCCGCAGAGCGTGCGCAAGGGTTGGCATGGTGATACTGGGGCGACGAGCCAGTCTCATTAAGGCTCTTGGCTGTCTTTGCTTGGGAACGCAGGGTAGGGAATGTTGTGAGGAGGAAAGAGGTGCTATGGGTGCAGGCCGGCGGCGTGCCTGTCCTCCCCGAGCCCCCGGAGGTGGGGAAGCACGAGGAAGGTGCTTTCCTGTCACCAAGCGGGCCTGTGTAGAAACGACCAGGGTATGGTGGAAGTGGGGTTCCCAGGAAATCTAGGGGTCCTGCGGGGGGCTGATAGCTGCTAGGGTGATCCCAAGGACTCAGTGACCACAGGAAAATGGGACGGCTGGGATGAGATGCGTGTGGGGGTGTGCACACAGAATGTCTCAAGACCAGGCCCAGGGGAGAGGAAGGGTTGGATGGAGTGTGTGTTCCAGGCACCAAACTTAGAACCGCTGGGTATTTGAGAGTCTCCGGTTGGCTAGGGCTCGCCTGCAGTTTAGAGGTTGGATCAGACCTCACGGAAGGATAACAGGTACTAGCGTTCAGATTGGGCCCCTGCACTGACCACTCACTCCACCTGCTAACATAGCAGGCTCGGTGTGGCATGAGGCAGCCACTCAAGGCACGGGAAATGATTTCTCAGCTTTGGGGGTAGCCAAACCTCTCCATCTTTCAGGGTTGTTTTAAGAATTAAATCAGACAGTGTCGAGTGCTTAGTGCGATACCTGGGTCATTTTCCTTATTTATTTTCTTAATGTATATTTAAAAATAATGGCTTCAGGGTGACAACGCGGCAGTGGCAGGATGAGCGGTTTTTGTGTTCCGAGAACAGTGCTCCATTCTCGTGCCTTCTTTCTGGGAGTTTTGATGACTCCCCGTTTCCCTCTCCCTGGTGTGTCTGGTTTGAGGCACAGCCCACACCCCCTCAGTCCTGCCTTTTGCTCCTATCCCAGGCTCCAGCCAGGGCCACCACTCACTCTGTCCCAGTTTGATTTCCTCATCCTACACCCATTGGCCTGGCTGCCCCTCCTTCCTCCCTCTGGGCCCTGCTGCCATAGGAACAGACGATTTTGATTCCAGCTCCCAAGGGGGCCCCTGGGAGGGAGCAAAGGTGTCTGTTGCCTGCCAGAACCTGGGCCTCCCAGTTCCCCTCGCCCTGGCTCTTTGGCTCCGGGCCAGCCTAGTATGTACAGTACAGGAGAGCAGGGAAAAGCAGGTGCCAAGAACTGCAAGGGCGGGCAGACGCGAGTTCCGAAAAGGGAGCCAGGCAGGCCCAGGTGTGGGGGACGGAGGGCGGGGACCCCTTCCTCCTAAATCCTCTCTCCAGGAATCTCTGGCTTTAGGACAGGACGGCTGTCGCGAGGTTTTGTCTGGGGGGGGCGGGAGGGAGGCGTCCAGGGTGAGTGCATGTCCTGGGCCAGCAGCCAAGAGAACACGATGTTCCCAAGTGCGCTGGCCGCCGCCCTCTGGGACTGGCCGCCTCCCAAACCTCTGCCTCGCCAGCTCCTCCAGGCTCCCTGCCCCACATTCCCCGGCGCCTCGCCCCGCCCCGGCCTCCGCCTTGACGTCACCGCCCCGCCCCGCCCCATTGACGGCAGCGGGCCGGTTACTGTGGGGACGGCGGCCTGGGAGCAGCTGGGTGCGCCGCAGACAGCGCGGGCCGCAGAGACCACCCTAACCCTGCTAGCAGGGAAGGGGGGTCGGGATGGGGCGAGCACAGGGGGCACCCCTACCAAGACACCAAAACGGGGGTGGGGGAGTCGCAGGACAGTTTCAAGTAGTCTTCTGTTTCCTGTTTTCCAGTTTCAGTCCCCCTCCCTCCCCAGGTTATTTTATAACGCCCCTGTGTCCCAGCTTTTTTCCACAAGGACCTCCCTTTTGTCCCCACCTCCCTCGCCCCCGCCACGGGGGACACTATTGTTAAGGGCAGCTTAGGCCACGTGACCCGCACCCACAGCTGATGATGTCAGCAGCTGCGTGGGGGCCTCTCCCCTTGCTCCCCCCGCACATTTCCGGGGAGCCCTGAAAGGAGCCCCTCAACGCAGGCCTGGCGTTAGGGACCGGGATCAAGTCCCTGTTCTTCTAGGACGTGGCATTTCCGCGGGGTCTTCTCGGCCACCCTCCCCCCATCCTTCCGCATGCGTCCTACCTAGTTAAAAACGCAGTCATGTTTACTGGTCACCTGCCCGGTCCTCCTTGTCCTGGGGAACTGAGTGAATGAGGGAGATAGGGTCCCTGCCGGATTCTTGGCTTCTGCACTGTTTTTCAGGCTGTGGGGGAAGTGAAGGCCTTTCTACCCCCACCTATTATCTGCCCAGGGCCCCAGCTGGCCTGACCTCACTTTGCGCCCACTGTAGCCCCGGCTTCCTGGCCCCCCTCTCCGGGGGCAGCCCTAGCCTTGGTGGGGGCGGCGACATCCTCTGGGGCAGTCACTGGTGTGGCCGCCTGGAGCCCTTCTCTGACTGGCCGTGAAGCACCTGCCATTGTTTCCCCTGCCATTATCTGCCTCTTCCTACTTACTTTACCCACTCACCCCCCCCAACCACACGCGAACCCTCAGCCACCCTCCTCCCGGGATTTTAAGTGTCAGAGGAAGCGGACAGGAGTGGAGAGCTATAAGGGGCTTCTTTACCTCAGATGACAAGGCTGGGCCGGGCAACCCAGGAGGGGTCAACAAGCTGGGTTTGTCCGTCACCCCTCCTCTTAGGGGGTCGCCATCTCGTCCAATCTGGTCCAACTCCAGGGTCTGCACACCTTTCCCTGTCCTCCCACTCCCCAGCCCCTAGGCATCCTATTCTGTGAGGCTGGTCAGTTGAGGAACACCTGCTGAGCCCCCAAGTCCCCCCTCCCCCCGACGGGGACAGCTTACCTCCCTCCCTGCGCCGGGCACCCTGCGCCCTGGAGCCCCGCGCCAGCACCCAGGTCCACGTGCGCCCGTGTGTGTGACACAGCCCTGACCTCAGCGGGGGCCAGCGGCCAATCAGCCGGCCGGGGCGGGGCCTGCGGCTCCGCCGGCGGGAGGCCAATGAGGGGCAGCGCCTGGCATTATGCAACCCGCCTCCCCGCCCCGCGAGCTTGCACTCGGCAGCGGGCTGGAGCTGCAGCGGACCGGGCGGCTGGAGGGCGCTCGCCGGGCCAGGTAGGCATCTCCGCGCCCACCCTGGGGGGCCGGGCTCCGTGCCCAGAGCCGGACTGCCGCACTTGCAACAGGATGGGCCACTTTTCAGCCCGGACGCGTCGACGCCACACCAATAATCCACCTTCCTCGCCGCTGCTATCCATCTCACCTCCCACCTTCTGCTCCCCACCCCTCCAGGGACCTGGGTGCTCTTTGCAACCCAGCATCAGGCGTCCACACGCTTGAACCGCTCTGTCCCACTCCATCTCTCCTCCGCCGCCCCACAAAGCCGGCTTCCCAGCGCGCGTGCCCCCGTCTCTCTTCGTTATTCAGAGGTCTCTGGGCATACTCTGGCCCCAGGAACTGCCCCCCTTCAAGGCTTTGGGCGCTCACTCCTCTCACAGGCCCTGGCCCCACGCCGGCCGTGATGTCAGCCCGCTTCAGGCTGGAACATCCCGTTCCCGGCGCTAGTTCCTGCTGTTGGCCACAGCCTTCCCTTTTCTCCTGGTGCTTCGAAAACGTTCGCGGACGGAGGGCGGGGGGGTGTGGTTGGACCAGGAGCGGGGTTACAACTATCCGCTTGGTTGTGTGTTCCTTGCCCAAAAGCTCCGATGAGGGGGGATGGTGAGCCAGGAAAGTCAGGGAGGGACTGAGGAGAGGATTCCCCAGCCCTTGGCGACAGCAGGTGCCAGCTTCGACCCTGGTGGTCAGTAAGGAGACAAAGGCCAGGGAAAAGAAGGCTGTGGCGTCTGCAGGGTGACTGCGCTCGGGCGATGGCCCGGCTTGGGAGGGCAGTGGCGGTTTTGTATCGTCCTGGCCAGGCCCTGGAGCCCCGAGGGGCTACCCTTCTTTCTACGCCATCCGACCGTCCAGAAACTGTGGATAGGTGAGGGGGTGGCCACCTGGCCGCGCCCGCCCGTGGGGGAGAGGTCGATCCCCCCACTTCCGCTGGGGAATGGGGGAGGGGGCGCCCCTCCCGCCGGCCTGTGGTCCCTCCAGCAACCGCTGAGCTCAGTGGCTGACGTCGGTTTCCCTGGCGACCGCGGCGGCGGCGGCGGAAGCGCGTGGTGGGGCCGCGCACGTCGGCGCGCATGTGCGGCGGGGGTGGCGCCGCCCCCGGATAAAATTAGCCCGGAAGCCTAAATATAGGTGGCGATCGGCTCACCCTCTGCTCTGTGGCCTTAGGGTCCCAGGCCCGTCCGTGTTTGAAAGCGGAGGAGCTGGTGGGAATTTGGGCATGGGAAGTGCCCAGGCTTTGGCCCGACCCCAGCGTCCTAGTCGGTCGCTCAGGCAGCACCTACACATGCCACGCTGGCAAAGAGGACGCTCGGGAGGTGCGAGAGAGCCCCCTTCCCGCTTGCTGCACCCTTAGGGCGACAGGAAACAGATCTTACCTCGGCTGTCTATTGGAAGGCTCCGGGTCTGGGTAGCAGGAACTATGAGAGCGGGAAGGGGGGGGGGGGTCCAGAGAAGCCAGCAGGTGCTGTCGGTTAACTTTCCAGCTTTCCCTGAAGCTCTCTTTTCCTGGTCTGCCTCTCCAGGTTCTAGCTGTGATCGAACTTCTCAACTCTCTGAAACCTAGGTTTCCCACCTCATTCCCCTAGTCAGGCCTCCCGGGCCCCCTGGTGCATCCGTGGTGGCCTCTTCGCCTGTTTTGTTCTCCTCTCCCCCTCATGGCCCAGACATGAGTGGCCCCCTGGAAGGGGCTGATGGGGGTGGGGATCCCAGACCGGGGGAGTCCTTCCATGCGGGAGGGGTCCCAGCCCCAGGGCCTCCTCAGCACCGGCCTTGCCCGGGCCCCAGCCTGGCCGACGACACTGATGCCAACAGCAATGGCTCAAGTGGCAACGAGTCCAACGGGCCTGAATCCCGGGGTGCCTCTCAGCGAAGTTCACACAGCTCTTCCTCCGGCAATGGCAAGGACTCAGCCCTGCTGGAGACCACGGAGAGCAGCAAGAGGTCTGTGTGTGCACATGTGCTATGTGTGTGTGTGTGCTGGTTTGGTCTGGGGATGGAGTGGCAAGTAGGCCCCATCCCGCTGCGCCTCATCTTGAGTCCATTGCTTTTCCCTTAGCACAAACTCTCAGAGCCCCTCCCCGCCCAGCAGCTCCATCGCTTACAGCCTCCTGAGCGCCAGCTCAGAGCAGGACAACCCATCTACCAGTGGCTGCAGGTAACATGGGTCTGGGAGGTCTGGGAGGGGTTGTGGTTGGGGGAAGCTTCTGGGCTCTTCCTGGATCACACCTCTGGGGCCTCACGTCTCTCCCCTCTCCTTCCTGGTGGGGTCTGCAGCAGTGAGCAGTCAGCGCGGGCGAGGACCCAGAAGGAACTCATGACTGCACTGCGGGAGCTCAAGCTCCGGCTGCCGCCAGAGCGCCGGGGCAAAGGCCGCTCTGGCACGCTGGCCACGCTGCAGTATGCGCTGGCTTGCGTGAAGCAGGTGCAGGGTGAGCACTGCTTCCCTCCTAGGGAAGGAATGACCCTGGGGTCCTCCCTACACCCTGGGCCTGCTAGAGGAAGGCAGCATGAGTTTAACCAAGTGGCCGGCGCTCTTCCCACAGCCAACCAGGAATACTACCAGCAGTGGAGCCTGGAGGAAGGGGAGCCCTGTGCCATGGACATGTCTACTTACACCTTGGAGGAGCTGGAGCACATCACGTCAGAGTACACACTTCGTAACCAGGTCAGCGGTTGCCCGTGGCACCCCACCCTGCCCCTGACATGCCCCCAGCCCTCCGCAGCTCCTGAATCTGCTCTTGCTCCTCCCCCACTCGACCAGGACGACGCAGCGTGAGCTAGTCGTGGGGCAGTCTCCTTCCTGACAGGCCGGATACGTTAGAGGGGGATCGCAGAATGCAGGCAGCTGCCTGCTTGCGCCGTGCATAGCAGATGTGCATGGATGAGTTCCGAGGCGCCGTCGGCTCATCTGAGCGCCTGGGGCTGACTGGCGAAGGATGTGAGAGTGTGCTGCTAGGGGCTCCCTGGCCCATCCCGCCTGCCCACGTGGGGCGCTGGGGCCTCAGCAGGTGAGTTGCTTAAGGGCTGGGAGAGGGGGACAGAGATGGCCTGGGGTGGGTCTGGCAGCGCCTTGTCTGGATGTGGAAGTGTGGTGGGGAGCAGGCTCAGTGCCCGCCTTGTCGGGCGCGGGGTCACGCCTCAGATGGGACTTGCATCCCAAGACGCGCGAGCTGTCGATGGGGCTCAGCACATCTGGTAGGAGAGATTGGGGTGTAGCGAGAGAGTGGGGAGCATGCCTCCGCCCCCGCTGACCCACTTTGCGGCTTGGCTTCTCGGCCGTGATGGGCCACTAATGATCGCGTAAAGAGGGAGCAAGGTAGAGCCCCATGGTGAACAAGGCCATCTATTGGGGTCGTGCCACTCTGGTTCGACCCTGGGGGTTTGGAATGATGGGATATAGATGGAAAAGGGGTGCCCTGGACCGGGACCCAGGTTCCATCGCTAGGAGGTACCATGCATTCCGTCTAGGACTCCCTACGGACCAAGATAGCCGGTTTTTTGTCTGATGCGCGGCACCCGCCCAGGCCGTGGCGGCGATGCTCAGAAATCGCAGGGAGCGTAGCCGACTAGCGGTGAGGTGAATAAGGGCTGGTTTGCGGATCTGGGCAGGGGGGAGTGGGCGGATGGTGGCTGCACCTAATGGGATTGGTGGGAGTGTTTTTTGCGTGTTACTGGGTGTGGAGGGCTGGAGCCTGGTGTAGAGATCAAGTTTCCAATTGGGCTGGGGGACTGAGATGAGGTGGGTGCTTAGTAGATATGTCGTAGTTGCTTTTAGTGTAGATGCTGTTCCATGGTATGTAACATGGCCCAGGCTGTCTCTGGGGAGGAGTGCTGTCCACCAGCCAGCCAGCCTGGGCCCAGACAAAATGGTCGGCTGGGGAGCTGAGTCTTTCCGGGTGAAACCCACCCATGCCCACGCCTGCTGTGCCTCAGCTCCCCGGATCCCTCCGGATAAGAGGATCTTTACCACACGCCACACACCCAGCTGCCTCTTCCAGGACGTGGACGAGAGGTGCGATGGGGCCCTGAGGGAAGCCGGGGAGCTGGGCCCAAGGCCAGGGGCCTTCTGATACTTTTTCTTATCCAGGGCTGCTCCGCTGCTGGGCTACCTGCCCCAAGACCTGCTCGGCGCCCCAGTCCTCCTGTTCCTACACCCAGAGGACCGGCCCCTCATGCTGGCCATCCACAAGAAGAGTGAGTCTTCTCTCACCTTTCTTTCCCTTCCCAGCCGGCCCTGGAGCGCTCACTGCCCTCACAGAGGCCTGTCTGGAGGCTGTAGTTGTATGGGTCTCCAGTGGTGGCTGCCCTGCTCCTCTCCTCTCCCTCCTGCTGATGCCCCCCTCTGTTCTTTTCTCATGCCCATCAGTCCTACAGCTGGCAGGCCAGCCCTTTGACCACTCCCCTATCCGCTTCTGTGCCCGTAATGGGGAGTATGTCACCATGGACACCAGCTGGGCCGGCTTCGTTCACCCCTGGAGCCGTAAGGTGGCCTTTGTATTGGGTCGCCATAAAGTACGCACGTAAGTGGGCTGAGCCAGCACTGGGTGGGGGGTGGAGCTGGGTAGGGAGGGTTCTGGGGTTGGGGTAAGGGGCTGTGGGGAAGGATAGGACAAGACTCAACATGCCGCCCCACACCACAGGGCACCCCTGAACGAGGATGTGTTCACACCCCCGGCCCCCAACCCAGCTCTGTCTTTGGACTCTGATATCCACGAGCTGTCTGAGCAGATCCACCGGTTGCTGCTGCAGGTGAGAGTGAGGTGAAGGGAGCAGGACTTGGGAGGTGAAGATGGGGTGGGAAGCCTGCTGCAGGTGACTGACCTGTCCTTTTACCTGCCACAGCCCGTGCATAGCTCTAGCCCCACGGGGATCTGTGGCCTTGGCCCCTTGACGTCCCCAGGCCCTCTCCACAGCCCTGGCTCCTCCAGTGACAGCAACGGGGGTGATGCAGAGGGGCCTGGCCCTCCGGTTCCAGTGAGTGCTCCTCTGCCCCTACTGCCCTCGAGTTACCCTTTTGCATGCCAGGATCTGGCCTCAGTGCCACGGCTTTGTCTTGGGCACCCCTTCCTTGTTCTGGCCAGGCCTCCAGGGCTTTGCTGCCTTTGCAGGTGACCTTCCAGCAGATCTGTAAGGACGTGCATCTGGTGAAGCACCAGGGACAGCAGCTTTTCATTGAGTCCCGGGCCCGGCCCCCGCCTCGTCCCCGCCTCCCTGGTGAGTTGCTGAGGACCTGGGGGTAGGGGTGAGTGGCGAATGAGACCCGAGCATCTCCTGACCATCACCTCTGACCCATTGACGTGTGTCTTCTCCCAGCCACAGGCACATTCAAGGCCAAGGCCCTTGGCAGCCAATCCCCAGACCCGGAGCTGGAGGTGGGCCCTGCTCCAGTCCAGGCCCCACTAGCCTTCGTGCCTGAGGAAGCTGAGCGGAAGGAGGCCTCCACTTGCTCCTACCAACAGATCAACTGCCTGGACAGCATCCTCAGGTGAGGCTCGCCTACACCCTTCCCACCTTGGGCCTGGTCCCTGCTCCACCTCACATCCTGCCTTTACTGCCACCTGCTACACCGGCCACCAGGTACCTGGAGAGCTGCAACATCCCCAGCACAACCAAGCGCAAGTGTGCCTCCTCTTCCTCCTGTACTGCCTCATCGGCCTCCGATGATGACAAGCAGAGGACAGGGACGGGTCCAGTCCCCACAGGAGCCAAGAAAGGTGAACACCTAGCCTGCTGACCCCTGTACCTCTAGGGCCCTGCCTCGCTGTGCCTTGTCCTTGTCCACCTCATTCCCCTCCTCCACCCAGGCCCCTTCACCTCCTGATTTCCATCCCTCTCCCCCAAGATCCCTTGCCTGACCAACCCTCCCCACCCCCAGCAGGGGTGGTAACTGGTGCCATCTCTCTGCGCAGATCCTGCAGCGGCGGCGGGCGTGCTCTCTGGGGAGGGGGCGACTCCGCGGAAGGAGCCCGTGGTGGGAGGCAGCCTGAACCCGCTCACGCTGGCCAATAAGGCAGAGAGCGTGGCGTCCGTCACCAGTCAGTGTAGCTTCAGCTCCACCATCGTCCATGTGGGAGACAAGAAGCCCCCGGAGTCGGGTACGGGCGTGGAGCTAGGGGGCAGTGCCAGCGTCCTCCTTCCTGCCTCTCCCCTCCCCCGTAGGCCTTCATTGAGGCCTCCCCTTGGCCTGCAGCCACCACTGCTTGCCCTTGTCCCCTGCCAGCCTGTGTGCTTTGGCCTGTCCTACTCCCCTGCTTGTGTTCTTCCCGTCAGGGCAAAAAAGTCTGGCGTGGGAGGGGCTGACCCCAGGGGGAATGAGGCGAGGAACTTACTGAAGAATACTGCCCTACCCTGCCACCAAGGGTCTGTGGGTCTTGACATTGAAAAATGTATTAAGGGGCAGGCACGGTGTGGGCGGCAGCTGCTAGAGAATACTGGGAATGCTCGGGCACCCTGGGACAGCGTTGCGTGACCAGCCCTTGGTAGGGAGGTGACCTAGGTCTGGGCTGTGCAGCCAAGAGCAGGGCTTGGCTATGCTGTGGAACTGCAAACATGTGTGCATGTGAACTTGGTGACCCCTGAGGTGATCCTACTGACCTTTTCTTCCCCGTCTCACCTTCTTCAGATATCATCATGGAGGATCTGCCTGGCCTAGCCCCGGGCCCAGCCCCTAGTCCAGCCCCCAGCCCCACAGTAGCCCCTGACCCAGCTCCAGACGCCTACCGCCCTGTGGGCTTGACCAAGGCCGTGCTGTCCCTGCACACACAGAAGGAAGAGCAAGCCTTTCTCAGTCGCTTCCGGGACCTTGGGCACCTGCGCAGACTCGATGGCTCTTCCACAACTCCTTCAGCCCCAGGCGAGAGAGGTAGCCACCAGTACTTTCCGGAGCCTGCCTCAGCCTGGTTCAGGACCACCCTGCCCCCGGGTGGGGGCATATAGAGAAAGTTGGTGCTGCTTCCGCTGGCAGGGCCCTGCTCGAGGAAAGGTCCCCTTCTGCCACTGGCTTCTGCCCACCAGGCTGGGGTTCTGGGCTACAGCCTGAGGCAGGCAGTGTGGGGGTGTGGCACCAAGACAGGCAGGCAGAGGGCTGTGCTCCAGGTAAGCTGCCTTGGGTCCAGTTCCATGTCAGATTGTTCCCCAAAGCACCCCCCACCCCCAACCCATGCCCTGTGTTCTGGGTGAGCAGCTCTCCTCGGGGTCTTTGCCCAGCCTCTATCTGGTCACAGAATCAGGACTGTGGGGTTGGCAGGGGTACTAACCACAGACTGAAGCCCTTGCTAATCCTAGTCTCTCCTCTGTAGGCTGCCATCATGGCCCTGCGCCCCCTGGCCGCCGCCACCACTGCCGGTCTAAAGCCAAGCGCTCGCGTCACCACCAGACTGCCCGAGCTGAAGCCCCTTGCTACGTTCCCCACCCCTCACCTGTGCCCCCCTCTGCCACCTGGCCCCCACCACAAGCCACCACCCCCTTCCCTGCAGTGGTCCAGCCCTATGCTCTCCCTATGTTCTCCCCTCGGGGAAGTCCCCAGGCTCTGACCCCAGCTTCCACATCTGTACCCCCTGCCACCTTCCCTGCCCCCCTGGTGACCCCTATGGTAGCCTTAGTCCTTCCAAACTATCTGTTCCCTCCTCAGTCCAGCTATCCCTACGGGGTACCCCAGAGCCCAGCAGAGGGGCCTCCCACCCCTGCCTCCCACTCCCCCTCACCATCCCTGCCTCCTCTGCCTCCCAGTCCACCACCACACCCAGACTCCCCGCTGTTCCAGTCACGATGCAGCTCCCCACTCCAGCTGAACCTGCTGCAGCTGGAGGAGCCCCCCCGTGCTGAGGGGGCTGCTGTGGCAGGGGGTCCTGGGAGCAGTGCTGGACCCCCACCTCCCAGCGAGGAGGCAGCTGAGCCAGAGGCCAGAATGGTGAGTGCCAGTTCCCCCAATACCCTACAAGCCTTGCATCTGGCCCTCAGCACCTATAGGCCTCCTGCCTTAAGGGTCTCCTGGGCTGATGTGTCTGTCCCCTGGTGTGGACGTTACAGGATGGGAGACTGGCCTGGCCCCACGATCACAGAACAGAAGCAGTGACAGTGGAGGCAGCAGACGGGAAAGCCAGTACTGAACCCCTCATGACTGCTGCTCTCCTGCTGTCCTCTACAGGTGGAGGTGACTGAGTCCTCCAATCAGGACGCACTTTCAGGCTCCAGCGACCTGCTGGAGCTGCTGCTGCAGGAGGACTCACGCTCGGGTACCGGCTCTGCGGCCTCCGGCTCCCTGGGCTCTGGCCTAGGCTCTGGGTCCGGCTCGGGCTCCCATGAGGGGGGCAGCACCTCGGCCAGCATCACCCGTGAGTCCTCCCTGGGCAGGTGGGATGACAACTTGATGGGGGTGGAGAGAGATCATATTTGGCTGAGCTTCCTAAGGTCCACAAGCTTGGAGCCAAGCCTAGTGAAGCCCTGGCGGTAGCAGTGCCAGGCAGCCTAACTCCAGTGGTTCCCCATTCCCTCTTGGCTCCAGGCAGCAGTCAGAGCAGCCACACAAGCAAGTACTTTGGCAGTGTCGAGTCTTCGGAGGCCGAGGCCGGGGCTGCACGGGCCGGGGCTGAGCCTGGGGAGCAGGTCATTAAGTACGTACTCCAGGATCCCATTTGGCTGCTCATGGCCAATGCTGACCAGCGTGTCATGATGACCTACCAGGTGCCCTCCAGGTAAGGCAAGTCAGGGGCCTCTCCCACCTCCCGGGCAGAGATGGAAGGGAAGCCAGTGCCCCCTCCCCTGCTCAGCCCTCGGCTAGCTTCCCACCCAGCCCCTTGGAGCCCCTTCAGTGGTTGCCCAGACTAAGAGCAGGTTGCCTGGGTCTGAAAGCCGGATTGCAGGTGGGGAGGCAGGTAGAGGGAGGCCCCCAGCCTTGGAGGCCTGGCCTCCCCCAGATCCCAGCCTCTGCCCCTGACCCTTTCCTTGGCCAGGGACATGGCATCTGTGCTGAAGCTGGACCGGGAGCGGCTGCGGGCCATGCAGAAGCAGCAGCCTCGGTTCTCTGAGGAGCAGCGGCGGGAACTAGGGGCTGTGCACTCCTGGGTCCGGAAGGGCCAGCTGCCTCGGGCCCTCGATGTGATGGTGAGGGAAGGCTGAGCAGGCGGGCTGGCCGTGCAGGGTTTAGGAGGGTGGGCTGAGCTCAAGTTCTAGGGAGCTAGGCTATGGGCTGGCTCGAAGTTTCTGAAGGATGGTAACTCCACGAAGTTTGTTGCTGGGTTGTGTAGAAGGGAAACTCAGCAAATTCTGGGGAGTACCATGGGCCTGGAGAATATGAGAAGCTGGACTGGCATTTGGCAGTGAGGAGTCTTCCTCCTGACTCCCCATCCCTGGTTCTTCCTCCAAGGCCTGCGTGGACTGTGGGAGCAGCACCCAAGACCCTGGTCACCCTGAAGACCCTCTCTACTCGGAGCTGGACGGACTGGGGCTGGAGCCCATGGAGGAGGGTGGAGGCGAGGGGGGTGGTGGCGGTGGTGGGGCTGGGGGTGATGGTAGTGGTGAGGGGGAGGGTGGCGAGGAGGCCCAGGCCCAGGTGGAGGTCAAGGTCTCAAGCTCCCAGGACCAGGATGCAGCCATGGAGGAGGAGGAGCAAGGTGGGAGCTCATCTGGTCCAGCCTTACATGCTGAGGAGGAGGAGGATGGCACCAGCTAGACTCCAAAGGGGGGCCAAACCTGGGCTTTCTCTAGAGACTTTGCTCTGCGTCCTCATCTCAGAACGCCAAGGTGGCCAGACCAACTCATAGGAAATTGCCCCAGCTCCTCCCGCCGGCAGGGGGCTGGACCCCCATCACCAGCCCAGGAACCAGGGGCTATCTGCCCAGGCCAGCCCCGAGGGGTGGCATCTGACCCCCACTTCCCCACCTGGTGAGGAGCGCCTCGCTGCCCTGGCCAAGGTTGCTGACAAGCTGCTCGAAGTGGTCCCTGGGGAGCCCAGTGGGGCCCGGGTCTCAGCCCCGAGGGTCGAGACTATACTTATTTATTGGGGGAGATGGCTCGCTCTCCCACCTCCTCCCCACAGTGGGCCTAGGAGAGAAGACTGAGGGCCAAGCAGGACCCAGGGTTCAAGCCCTTAGCTGCTCCAGGGTGGGGGGGGGGTTGGTGGACCATGGCGTCCCTGGTGCTGCCCCTCAGATGGGACCCAGGCGTTCTCAGCTGTACCCTCTACCAATGGCATTTGTGTTTTTGATATTGTGTCTGTTATTATTATTTTTTAAATATAAAACGGAAAAAACAAACGCCACTATCAGGACTTTGTGGAATGAAGTTTGGAAAGGGGTGGTGTGGTGAGGATGGCTGGGTTCTCCAGTCTCCACTGAAACCTGGTGGCTTGCAGGCTCTAGGCCACCACACGGGGAGACCCCTGGGACCCGGAGTTGCAAACCCGCTGAGGTCGGACGGTCCCCCAGTGGAGCGGAGGGAGAACGCAGACCTGCAGCTGAGACCCCGGAGAAGAAGGAAACACTCAATCCTCTGGGCTTGTTGCTGCCCGCAAACAGCTGATGATTCTTGAGATGGATACCTTCCCATGTCGGCGCCGTGGCTTAGCTGGTTAAAGCGCCTGTCTAGTAAACAGGAGATCCTGGGTTCGAATCCCAGCGGTGCCTGAGCTACCCGGGTATGGTATCTTATTGCCGAGCGCCAATCGGCCCCTCTGTCATCATGAGCCTTCACAGTTTTCCCCTGCAATTTTAGTATACCTCTGCAAGCGAAAATTCTCCCCGTCATCCGCCCGCAAGGTCGCGGGACCCCGCCGCACTAGGTTTTGTTTGGAACCGCCCGGTGGCTCGGGGAACGAGAGGGAGACGCGGACGGCGTCAGCCCCGCATCCCGGAGGCCGGCACGGCCATGAGGGCACGGCCGCAGCTGCGCACGCGCACGGGCGCCTCTGGGCGGGGTCGCCGCAGGCCGGCGTCTTGATAGGCAGCTATAGCAGCGCAATGCACGGCCTTCCTGCGGCTGTGATGGCCGAGTGGTTAAGGCGTTGGACTCGAAATCCAATGGGGTCTCCCCGCGCAGGTTCGAATCCTGCTCACAGCGGTAATAGTTTTGGTAATGGTAAGTCCTATCTGTTCGGCAATAGGAAGTCTTTTATTTTCCAACCCTTTCCGGCTGTGGAGACGACTCTCCCACGCGTTTATTTCAAAAATTCGCAAGAAGCAGCCCGCGAGCGCCCTCTCGCGAGCCTTCAGACCCCTGCTGGTCTGCCAAAAAAAAAAAAAAAAAAAAAAAAAGGCGGGGGTTTTGTGTTACAGCTGGTTTCAATTCGTGTCTCCGTCAGAGGCGATGGTCCCGGTTTTCCTCAGCATTCCTACTACGTTTTGCTGACGTTCTCCTCTGCGACTCTCACTTCAAAGCGTGCATCTCCTTTATATCTGTTCTCAGTTTCTCGCATTGAGGCTGTGCCCACATCCTTGTCGCTTTTACTTTTTACCGATAGCCACTTACCCCTCACCTACTACATTTCCCAGACCCTCTGGCCCAGGTTGCTTTCTTTTTCCCTCCATTACCCGATTTCCCTTCTCCTTCTCCAAGCTGAAGACAAGAGGCACAACGTGGGCCAATGGCACCGCTCCGCCTACGCCCTACCCACACGGATTGCTGTGTGAACAAGCCACCCCTTGCGCCAGGCGGTGAGGCAGCCGGAGAGAGAGGTCACAGGGCTTGAACCTGCAGACTCCCCTTGCCTGGCTTCCAGAACTGCAAACTGAATCCACGCCTATGCTTTATACATTAGTCTGTTCAGTTACAGCCCCTGAAAATGGCCTGTCCTCCCTATCACTCCCGTTCGTGGCTCTGCTCTGCAGCAGGCCGAAAAAATTCCAGGACTGTCTGCCCATCTTCCCTGGTCCAAGTCACCTTGCTGAGTGTGTTGGCACTCGTCACCTCTCAAAAGGAGCTCTTCTGAGGCGTCCCTGGAGTTTAAGAAGACGGATCTTCTCCACTACCATTCTCTACCTGGAAAATGGGCTTTCCGAGCTGTGCCTGCCCTACAAGAACATACTGGGTGGAGCACAGTGGCTGCTGGGCAGTAGCTGCCGCAGGAGGGAGAGGGTGATGTCATTGTGTGTGTGGTGGTGGTGGTGAGGGGGCTTGCCCATTTCAGTGGGATTGCCCACTGCTTTCACATTGAAGCGGGGAGAGAGTTGGCCCTGTGGCCTACACTAATCCCATTCCTCATACCCCCACCCCAAGATCCAGCCAGGGAACTCCATTTTGCCCAGGACCCCTGGGGGGCTTGCAGGAAGCCAAGCTGCACTTTGAAGCTCAGAAGAGGGAGGAGTTCGGCCTCAGGGCCTAGGCCTTGGGGGGTGTGACGTCTCGGAAGTGGGAAGCGGGGAGTGGGGGAGTGGGGTAGGGGGGGTGGACTGTGCCTGCCCAGTTTTTCCCTTGCCTCCCCAAGAGGCCTGAGGAGAGTGTATCAGCTCCTCTTCTCCTAGTTCTCAATGTGACCACCCCCTAAGAAGAAGCTGCAGGTTCAGGCCCCAGTATGTACCATCAGGTCTCCAAGATCCTAGAGACACAGAAATGTGAACCCTGTCCTGGAAGTCACAGGCACATGGCCACGGGGCAGCCAGTAAGAGGAATGAGCTGGAGAAAGTCCCCCCTCCTGTCCAGGGCCCCGAAGCCCTATGTAACCTGGAAGGCAGGCATTTTGGAAGGAAAGAATGCAAAATGAGCTACAGGTAACACGTATTCGTAATGGACACCTTTCAAAAGCTGACCAGTGTCTGAGCAGAACAATCTGTGGTTGTATGGGCCGTGTGAGCCTGTGTATTACTATGGCTGAGATTGGTGGACATTTTCAGTCTTGCTTCTCTCTGTCCACTCAGAGACTTACAGTGCCCAGGGCCACTGCTGCGTGGCCATCCCCTGTGCCCCCTGGCCTGTACAGGATGAAAACTGGTGAGTAGGCAGAGGTTATGGGAACATTCCTGGGCCAGGTAGCCAGGCCAACTTACAAGTAAAAGTGATGAGGATTTTAATCTGAGTCTCTCTAATTCACTTTCCCCACCCCAGATGCGCAGCACCACCAGCCCTGGGGAGGGAGGAGAGTGACCGGCAGATAGCCACAGCCGGGAGCCTGAGCTCTCCCATGGGCCGGCGGTTGAAACAGCTGGTGGTCTTGGGAACACGGGGCCAGGCCCTTCTCAGGGGTCTGTATAGGGGAAAGTTCCAGAACGGCCTGAGGAGCCTAATGGATTGGCCTCTGCATTTGGACTTCTTTCTCTCTCTCTTTTTAAATACATATTTATTTATTTTTCTTGAAAAGGCAGATATACAGAGAGGAGAAAAAGAGAGAAAGATCCTCTATCTGCTGGGTTATTCCCCGAGTGGTTCCAATGACTGAAGCCGATCCGATCCGAAGCCAGGAGCCAGGAAACTCCTCCAGGTCTCCCATATGGTTACAGGGTTCCAAAGCCTTGGGCCATGCTCAACTGCTCTTCCAGGCCACAAGCAGGGAGCTGGATAGGAAGCGGGGCAGCTGGGACATGAATTGGTGCCCACATTGGATCCTGGAGTATGCAAGGTGAGGATTTTAGCCACTAGGCTACAGTGCCGGGCCCTTTCCTTACTTAAAATATTTATTTATTTATTTTTTGTTACAAAGGCAGATTTACAGAGAGAAGGATTAACAGAGAGAGCTCCCATTGCTGATTCACACCTCAAGTGGCCAACAGGAGCCAGAAGCCTCTCCTGGGTCTTTTATGTGGGTGCAGGGCCCCAAGGTTCTGGCCATTCTCTACTGGTTCACCAAGTCACAAGTGGGAAAGAGGAGCAGCTAGGACACGAGCCGAGCCGGACCCCATGTCACGTGTTCTTTCTCCTCCATTAACTTGTAGCTCTCCCTCCCTCAGTGAGGGAGCTGGATCCAGTGACCACAGCTGGAGAGCTGGCCTCATCTCATCCATCCCACCCAGGCGCCTCCAGATCTGGGAGACAAAGGGAGAGACCTTCCCCTGCTGCTGAGGGCCGTCTCTCCACTTGGCACTGCCTTCCCTGCCCCCTGTGCCATCCTGACCGCAGGCCTTGGTTATTCCCCTGTGCATGCGTGCGTCCGCTTGTGCTGCCTACACACCTGGCTACTGCATAGCTTTCTGCCCTCCCTCCACCTGCATCCTCTCCCCACCCGCCCCACCTTGGGGACCTGCTTAGTGCACAGCCGAGATGCGCCTGTTCTTGGGGGCGCCTGAGATATCCAAGATGTTGAACTTGATGTTTGCTTCTCTGCCTTTGCCGTGGTTACCCTCCCAGCCAGCCAGCTTTGATCCAGCTGAGTGCTCGTTTGAAAACACGCATTTGTTTATTTGGCCACAGAATCATTTTTAACCTTACGGATAATGATGGAATATCTTTGTGATGTTTTTTGATGCCAGTACACTCTGTGGAATGATGAAAGCAAGCCTGCGTGTCCTCATCACATTATCTGGTGTGTGTGTGTGTGTGTGTGTGTGTAGAAAACTGAAAATCTTTCCTTTTAGCCATTTTGAAATACATAACAGTGTTCGCTGTGCTGTTCCATAGCTCACTCAACATCTTCCTTATAGACTCGCTCTCGGTGTTCAAAATTCCTTGACACCCTGATTGTCTGCGCTCTCTGGCTGTTGTAGATCCCTTTGCTAAATCCTTCTCCTCTACTGTCCCAGGGTAGTGTTGCCCAGCCTGTGTGAAACCTGCACCAAGCTGTCCAGGGGGCTCACAGCTAAGGGAGAGTTCCTGACCTCCCCACCACGGGTACACACACACACACACCCTGCTTCTTAAGCTAAGCGCCCCCATCCTGGCTCTCCTGCAACGCTCTTCTCTCCTGTCAGCCTGTGCCAGCTCTCCAAAGGAATCCGCTTGCTTCTCCAGATGGCAGCTAACGGGATCTTTACAAGCTAAGAGAAGAAAAAACTTTCTGGAGGAGGAACCCTCCCTTAGTCTGCAGTTGTCCTTAGACCAAAATAACAGCAGCGATAACTACACAACCAACCCCAGTCCCTCAGAGCAGCCTAGGACCAGGTGACCATTCCCAGCTGACTCCAATCCCTAGCCCAGTTACTCTCCACCGTCTCCATCCCAGGGTCGCTAGCTTCCTTCTCTACCCCGGGGCCTTTGCACTTGCTGTTCCTGATGACTCAGGTTAAATCACACAACAGCTTCAGGCAATCTCAGCTCATAGAGGTTTGGCTTTCCATGGCACCTAGGGATGAAGGTGGGGGAAGGGTGTATTCTCTCCCTGAAGCCTGTAAGCGTCTGAAATTATCTTAAGTCAGTTTCTGCTTTCTTGGTTACTGTTTCAGTTCTCGGTATATGAAGGCCAAGTGAATAAATCACACAACAGCTTCCCACATTCATAAAGACGCCCAGATAACCTTTCCTTCTAACCGGGTGAGGAGGGGACACTGTCGCCGGCTTCCAGTGGCCAGAGTCGGTGCCAGGCAGGTTGCAGTCCGGCAGTCTCCAGGGCTAGCAGGCCGCATATCGCGCCCAGGGCGGAGGAGGAACCCTCCTCCGGGGGTGGAAGGAAGCAAGAAACCAGCACAGCCAGTCTCCGGGAGCTGGCCGCACGGCCCCACCCACAAGCGGCCGCGGCAGGTGGCCGCGCGTCCGCCTGGGCGCCCGCAGGCCCGACGCGTGCGGGATCAAAGCAGCGGGAAGGGGCGGGACGCAGAGGTGTTGGGGATCTGGAGGTGTGAGAGCGAGCTTCCCAGGGGATGCTGGAGCGTGGGAGCGAACAGACCCCCGGAGACCCGAGGGGGCGCAGGCGGACACGCAGACAGGGGCGCGAGGAGATCCAGAGTCAGGCAGGGGTGGGGACGACAGAGGGAGACCCAGCGAGGCGCAGCTCAGATGCGGGACAGGAGTGGAGACAGAGACGCGGAGAAGGGCGAGACCCACGCGGGCTTGGCACAAGGAAACTCAGCAAACCAGAGAGGAAGAGCCACGGCGGGACCAGCAGGGCGGAGGGTGTGGGGGGAGGGCGAGCTCTCCCCTCCCCCGCCGAGGGACCGGGGGACCCCCGGGGAGGGGATCCGAAGGCCGGGTCCTTTCTCAGGATCACGCCTGGAGAGGTGCGGGCCGGGGGGCGGAAGGAGGGGCGAGGAGGATGCAGGACCCCCGGGCTGGGAGGAGGGGGAGTGAGAGCATCACAGCCCGAATTATGGGTTTCGAACTAAACTTTGTCATCTAGTTAAAGGGTTCAACTTGTGGTTTGCTGGGAAAGGGAGGCTTAAAGAAAGATGCTTCTTAGAAAGTTGTTTAAAATTTTCTTGAGAGAAATGGAAAAAAGGTTAGCATGTGCATTGGCCGGGAATCGAACCCGGGCCTCCCGCGTGGCAGGCGAGAATTCTACCACTGAACCACCAATGCAAGCAGATGACAGGGCGTTTTCATTATCTCTTTCCAAGCTTGCACGCGGTTGAGTCGGAAATGACCAGACTGGAGGTGCGGACTACCAGCTCCGGCAAGCAACAGTCCCGATGGCTGAGGTGGGTGGGGCGAACGCCGAGCCATCCTTCCTCCCTCCCGGATCCGGCCACCGGGCCATAAAGCCACCCCATATGGCCGGGGGCGGCCCCACACCCGGGTGCGAACAGCCCTGGGCCCCAAGCCTCGCGTGCAGGTGAGAAAAACTCAGCCCGAACTCAGGTTCCCAAGGAGTGGGGGGTGGGGGAGGGAAGCGGGCGGCGGGAAGCTGCGGGGCCACACATCTGGGTTCCCATTTGGCTGAAGTAAGGGGAGGTGGCATGTGCTGGGGGCCCTGCTCCCAAATGGAAGCCCCCTCATTGAGGTCTGCTCTCCCCTTCTCAGGACTCCCTGCCCAGGGTGGAAGGTGGGGAATGGGTGGAGGGGCGTAGGAAGGGCTTGTTGGAAACCCCTCTCGGTTTCCCACCCACTCCTCTCTGTAACACCCTGCCTTGCCCTGCCCTCCTCTCTGGCGATCTCAATGCCATTTCTTGTGCCCCAGGGCACGGCCTCCCCCCCTCCCCGCAGCTTCTTCATTCTGCACAGGGTCATGCCCTGGGTGTGTGTTCCCCTACCCCCCTCTCGTGCCCCCTCCCGTCCCAGGCACACCTGTGTCCTGGGTCCCAGCAGCCACATCTCAGTCTCCTGGAGTGCCTCCTGCCTCACATCCTTCCAGTGGCTCCCTTTTCTGGACGCCTTCCCCTTCCTTTCCCACGACCCCCAGCCACCCCTTAAGGAGCTCCTTGTTGGAGGGGCCCTACTTCACTTTGTTTCTAGAACAGCTACTTTGTTGCACGTGGTCTTTTGGTTTGGTTTGGGTCCTGGCCAGTTTAGGTCAGTATAGCAAAAGGGCAGGTTGATGTTGGGGAGTGGGGAAGGACTGGTGAGGGAGCGTAGAATTGCCCACAAATGACTTGGGCAGAGTCCCTACTTGAATCAGGTGGACCCACCAAGGAATGGAGGAGGGAGAACTTGTCTGGAAGGTGCAGAAAATCCTGCTTGGGGTTTGGAGGGGTGCAGTGCTGTGGTTCTAGGGATAAAGTTGACTGTCACCCCCCCCCCGCCCCCACATACCTCCAGTCTATTCTACCCCCAATTACTGAAGCTCCTTCCCCCCCTCGCAGTTAACTCCGTCTCATTAGACAGCCTTATGGTCCCGTGAAACCAGACGGTGCCCCATTCGACCCTCGCTTCCCACACTCCGGGGCCAATTCCTTTCCCACCCCCTCCTCCTTTCACTCCTCGTCTTTCCGGGAGCCTCGTGCCGGGGGTCCTGGGGGAGGGGGCGCGGGAGTGGCCCTGGGCCCAAGGGGCGGGGTTGGGTTCTGTCCCCTCCTACCTGACCCCCGCCCCCCAGGGCTATAAGGGTCGACGCTGGCGGGGGCCGGGTCCACACTAGGGTCCGGAGGAGCAATGGTTACCCGGGACCGAGCTGAGAATCGAGAGGGTCCCAAGGTAAGAAGGTGGGGAGGAGAGCGGAGGGGGGGGGGGCAGCCGAGCGGTGGGGCTGTGCGCTGGGAACCAGGCCGGGCGGAAAGCGTAAGGAAGAGGCGTGGACCGAGGGTGGCGGACCTGTCCATCGCCCTCGGGTTCTTCCTCCGAGTCTTGCACGGTGTGGCCCACGCGCCTGGGCGCAAAGACGGTCCCCGAAGTTCTCCGTTGAGACGGGGAGGGGGCACAAGAGGGAGTCTTGGAGAGGGAGGAGGAGAGGCAGAGGGAGGAGCGGGATGAGGTGGCGGCGGCGGCGGAGGAGGATTCGGGGAGTGAGAGGGAAGCAGCTCCGGCTCACGAGGAGCGAGCGAATGGGGGCAGTCCTGGGCAGCCCCGGGGAGAAGCGGGGCGGTCCCCGCACCGCGGCCGTGCTGAGTCTAGGTCGGGCCGGCCCGCTCTCTCTGTCCCGCTGTCGCAGATGCTGAAGCCGCTGGTGGAGAAGCGGCGCCGGGACCGCATCAACCGCAGCCTGGAGGAGCTGAGGCTGTTGCTGCTGGAGCGCACGCGGGACCAGGTCAGTCTCCGCGCCAGCCCCGCACCGCCCCTCTGCCTCCCCTGCCACCCCAGGGCTTCCCAGGGGCGTGGGAACCGGGCTCCTGCTGCTTGGACGACACTCGCTCCGAGGCCTCCTGACCCGATCCCCGTTCTGGGAACTCCACCTTGGACACCGCTCCCCCAACCATTTCACTCTTAGGACCCGATTTTTTCTGCCCCATCCCTTGTCTAGAAGTGGCTCAGGGTCGGTCCCTTTGCACACATGGGTCTCTGGCATGTCCCCTTCCCCTCCCCCCAGCGTCCGCTCAACCGCCGGGTTTCCAACCCCAGTCCGCCTCCCACACGCCATGCCCTGGTCGGGTGCATCCCCTCGGGCTGGACAGTTTCGTCTCCCGGCGCGCGGGGCCCCTTCTTGGTCGTCTCCACCCCGCGCCCGCCCCCTCCCTTCTTCCCCCTGCCACTTCCCCCCTCTCTCCCCACCCCTGTGTGTCTGTGCGCCCACCCGTGCTGTCTGTAGAACCTCCGGAACCCGAAGCTGGAGAAGGCGGAGATCTTGGAGTTCGCCGTGGGCTACTTGAGGGAGCGCAGCCGGGTGGAGCCCCCGGGTACAGCGCGGGGGGTGGGGCGGCGCAGGCGGGCGGGGGAAGACGGGGCGGACCCGGCGGTGGATGGTGGGCTTGGGGGGGAGTGGCAGGCTCTGCTGCGAGGCGAGGTTACTAACACCCGCGCGTGTCTGTCTCTGTGTCTCTCATCTTCTCCCTCTGTGCGTCCATCCGGCTTGCTGTCTCCGCCTGTGCGCCTGTCCGGCCTCTGTACCTCTGCGCCCTGCCCCTTCTTTCCTCCCCACCTGCCGGGCCCCTGCCCTGCCCTGGCCGCCGCGGCTCCAGGGGTTCCCCGGTCCCCAGGCCAGGACGCCGAGGCGCTCGCCAGCTGTTATTTGTCCGGCTTCCGCGAGTGCCTGCTCCGCTTGGCGGCCTTCGCGCACGACGCCAGCCCGGCCGCCCGCGCCCAGCTCTTCTCCGCGCTGCACGGCTACCTGCGCCCCAAACCGCCCCGGCCCGAGCCGCCGCTAGACCCGAGGCCTCCGGCGCCGCGCCCACCGCTGGACCCCGCCGCACCGGCCTTCGGTCCCGCGCTGCACCAGCGCCCCGCGGCACACCAGGGCCCCCCTAGCCCGCGCTGCGCATGGTCCCCAGCCCTCCGCTCGCCCCGCGCCGGGGATTGCGGCGCGCCGGCACCCCTCACCGGACTGCTGCCGCCGCCGCCTCACAGACAAGACGGGGCGCCCAAGGCCCCGGCGCTCCCGCCGCCCGCTTTCTGGAGACCTTGGCCCTGAGCTTTGGCGGGGGTGGGGGCGGGAGGTGGGGGTGGGGGCTGGGGGTGAGGTTGAGACTCCGGCCCGAGGGCAGCAAGAGGGACCCCGGGCGTCCGGGCGGGGAGGTGTTGGGGAGGGCGGTGGGGCGCGCGGGCGCAGCGCGCGGGTGAGATGTGGTCTATATTAGAGTATCTATATAAATATATATTTTCCTGCTCCTGTCCCCTTTCCCTGCCCACCTCTTCCCCGCTCCCTTGGCGTCTAGGATTGTACCCGCTCTGTCCCCGACCCGGTCCCAGTCCCTTCCCGAGTCCTTAGTGCATGGAATAAAGTGGTTCTGAAATCCCGTGTGTCCCTGAGCCAGGGGCCTGCCTTTATCTCGGCGTCCATCCACGCCCACTGCCCCTTCCCTTCTGGCATCTACCCCCTCCTCTCCACCCCCAGTCCTGCTCTCCGCGGCCCAAACCTCCGGGCAGACAGGTAAGTAAAGAGCAGAGCGGAGACTGGGGTTGCAACTGAAAACCCACTCAGAAAACACGGGGGGAGGGAGGTGGGGGCAAACAGATGGGAACCTTTCAGAAAAAGGTATCAAAAAGGAAAATAAAATCGACTCTGGTGGGATTCGAACCCACAACCTTTGAATTGCTCTTGTCGTCACTAGAAGTCCAATGCGCTATCCATTGCGCCACAGAGCCACCTGGCGAGCGGCTGCGTCTCTCGGCTTACGGGTCGTGGCGCGGGCCGGGCCGGGGCGGAGCACTGCGTGTGTGTGCGTGTGAGGAAGTCGGGCCGGGGCCGCCAGCGGCGTGCGGTGTGGAGCCGCGGGCACGCGGGGAGCGCGGCCGGAGCGCGGGGAGGGGCGCGCGTTCCCACCGGGAGCCTCTGCTCCCCGACTCCAGCCGGCTCGGCTGCCGGTCCGCCGCCGCCCGGGGGTCCGCCGCCGCCCGGGGGTCCGCCTGCCCGGGGGCCCGCCGCCCGCTGTGGCCCGCCCGGGGTCCGCTGCCCGTCAGCCGCCGCCCGCTGTGGCCCGCCCGGGGTCCGCCGCCCGGAGTGCTCGCGGTTCCGGCCGGGGAGCCGGCGACGAGCAAGCGGGGCCGCGGATGGCTGCCATCTTCACCCCGCCGCCTCCGCCTCTCTTAGGAGGACGGCGGGAAGGGGCGGCTCGCACGCAGGTAGCGTGGCCGAGCGGTCTAAGGCGCTGGATTTAGGCTCCAGTCTCTTCGGAGGCGTGGGTTCGAATCCCACCGCTGCCAGGCCGGTGTCTTTTTGTCAGGCTTTCCCCTCCCTGCTGCTGAGTTCACCTGCTGTGTTCTTGTAATTTCGTGAGGTACTTGGGATTGTTGCTGACGTCTTTGTCTTGGCTTGTTTTTGACACCCTCCTCTGTCTGCTGTCTTGCAGACAGCTGTACATTTTCCTGTTTAAACCAAAAAACATTTCTTCATCATCTGTTTTCCTGCACACATGTTCCCAAACCCTCGTTCAGAAGCTTCCAGGCTTAGAATATCGTCGTTACTATCCATGTTCAGGGTGTGCTGGGGGGGCAGGGTTCAGTTTTGCCTTTCTCCACAGATTTTTTTTTCCCTCACAAGAGGTCACTTGCAGAAGTCGCACAGAGCCTGAACAAAACGAAAGGTTCCACCGAGATTTGAACTCGGATCGCTGGATTCAGAGTCCAGAGTGCTAACCATTACACCATGGAACCCCGGCTCGCTCAGCACTTTCCCAGATTCTATACGTTAGTAAGCATTGTTCCCTCCCTGTTATTTTCGGAAAAGGCAATGCAAGTAAACACGTGAACATCGCACACGAAATATGGACTACCTATTATCAACTTCTCAATCATACATAGTGTTCAGAAAGTTGCATGCAAAAATGACAAAATTTCATTGACTTTGAAATATTTTTGTTTATGAATGATTATACTATTGTAATAATATGAGGAAAATCAGTCGGGGTGGAAATTTGAGGACGGGGTAGGGAAATCTCAGACCCTATGCAATTGTACTATAAAATTCAAAATTAAAAAAATAATTAAGAAGATTTTTGTTATGATAAATGTTGAAACGCTGAGTTAGTACATTATTACAATTAACAGCCTCAACATAAAGGAAAAACTGACGCGCCCGAACAGGGACTTGAACCCTGGACCCTCAGATTAAAAGTCTGATGCTCTACCGACTGAGCTATCCGGGCTCTTGCTCTGCTTTGCTCCTCCATTTTAGAAAAGGTCTCCATAGAGGACAGCAGTGGCCCACAAACCCGCGAGGGAACCGAGCGTTTCTGCTCACACGATTCATGTGCAGACCCGAGGTCGCGAGTGTAGACCGGCGGCCGTGCTGTTAGCGCTTTTCTCGGTACCCGCCTTTGGCGCCAGAACAGCGGCGGGATCGCAGGAGCCTAGAACGCTGCGGTGCCGGGCCCGGCCGCCCGGGGCCGCCCTCGGCCAAGCTTCCACCCTGGCTCGGGTGACCTACATCCATCCAGGACACCTCGGGCGCCCGGGGTCCCCACCCACTGCCCCGCGGGTCGAGGGCGGCCAGGAGCGGAAAGAATGCCCCGTGGGGGCCCGGACGCTCTGCGCCCCGGCTCCTCCGCCTTCTCCGGACCCGCCCTGTCTCAGGCGCGGGAGGCTGAGGTCCACCGGAGGGGTGGTGTGGGAGAGCAGCTCCTGACCACCTGCTGTGTGCAGCCTGGCGCAGACGACTCACCTGCGTAGGGCTGTAGTCATGTGCGACTCATGACCGAGAGCCGCTCACCTGCGTGCAGTGAGTCACGGGTAACTCACTTGCAGGAATTCAGGCACCCCGTGCCCCGTTCTGGCTGAGGGGAGAGGGGCACAAAGGGTTTTGAGGGGAAGTTGGGGCAGGGAGTATCAAGGGTCTCATTGGGGCCCCTGAGCAGGCAGAGGGCAGTGTCCCAATCACACAGGTGTCACCTCCCTGTCGCCATCTCAGCGTCTGGTCCCTCCTTCCTTCCCTCCCTTCCTAGGGCACCCAGGATTCCGATCTCCATCTGGGTGAGACAGCCAGAGGGACCGGCTGTGCCGCAGGGGAGCAAACAAGTATTAGGGTGCAAGACTGTGGGTGGGGAAAGGGAGGCTGGGCCACCACCTGGGAGTTTTGGAGAGAGCTCAGGAGTATCAGAGAGAGAGAGAGAGAGAGAGAGAGAGAGTTGGGTCTTCTTGTTGCTGGTGCCCCAGTCCTCTGCCCAGTAGCCAGCTGCTCACCTCTTCTGACTGCGCTGCAGTGGCCAGCATCGTGGGAGCTCCCTCCTCCCTCCCATCATGGCTGTGTACCGCCTGCGCGTGACCACGGGTCCCTACCTGATGGCTGGCACCCTCGACAACATCTCTGTCACCCTGGTGGGTACATGTGGGGAGAGCCCCAAGGAGCGACTGGACCGGATAGGCAGGGACTTCGCCCAGGGATCGGTGAGTACACAGAAGGGGCGGGGGGGCTGCCGTGGAAAGGCGAATTCCTCCTGGACAGGGATGCGGGCCCTGACCCGTTCATCACCTTCTCCATTGTAGACTCTGTCTTTTCTGGTGGGGGGCAGGGAGATGAGCCCCTTTCTTGGCTTGCTAGCTCTGGTTATACTGATGGTGGGCCTCAGGCAAGTCGTTGGGGACTGTTAGCCCTGACTTCCTCTGCCCTGGGCTCCGAATCTGCCTGTTTTCCCAGCCCCAGGGTTGTTCCATGGTGGCTTGCACGAGGGAGCTTGGAGCTGCTCCGCTCAGCCGAGCCACACCTACTCGCGCCCCCGAGTAGGGCTGCCCTCCGTGATCCCTCCTATCCGGGCTGGTCAGAAGCTGGGTCAGACCGAGCTGTGGGCTGCGTCTGGCCAGGCGGACACCGGGATGGCCGTGGCCGTTCCTGGGCTCTCACTCCTTGGCTGCCTTCATCCGCGCAGGTCCACAGGTACAAGGTGCGCTGCGCCGCGGAGCTGGGCGAGCTCCTGCTGTTGCGCCTACACAAGGAGCGCCATGCGCTCTTCCGCAAGGACTCCTGGTACTGCAGCTGCGTCAGCGTCACCGCCCCAGACGGCACCGTCTCCCAATTCCCATGCTATCAGTGGATCGAGGGCTACCGCATCGTGGAGCTGAGGCCGGGAACAGGTGCGCTCCTGCCAAAATCGTGGTCTGGGACTAAGAAATGGGAGTGTCTCATCGAGTCTGTGGGGCGAGGGACGCTGGGCTCCCAAGTAGATATATTCAATAAAAGAAGTAGCTCTCTCAAGCTCTGAAGTGCAAGGGCTTTGGGACAGCACTGATTTGGAGGGGAGGCCAAAGACTCATGTCGACCTGAGAAGATGGTTTAAAAAGCTCATGGTGAAGTGAAACGGAGAGAAAAATTTCATTTTCACACCAACACCTGCTACACTATTCTGCCCCCCTCAACACAAAACACTTGGCCTTCTGCAGTCTCCCCGACTTTTCCGAGTGGAATTAAACTGCACAGTGGTGGGGGAGGTGGTGGTCCACCAGAGCTGCAGATAAAGAGGCACTTTCGTTCCCCACAGCAAGAACTATTTGTCAAGATGATTCCCTTCCTCTCCTGCTGGATCACAGGAGACGGGAGCTGCAGGCCCGGCAACAGTGCTACCGGTGAGTGGGTGGGGGGACCATTCCCCTTCTACTCCCCCAATTCTGACCTCAACCCTCGTTAGATTGCTCATCATTGCCCCTGGTCACGGTGTCTGCCTCGGGACTGTGGAGCCCTGAGTCTGGGCCCAGATGACCAGCGCCAACTGTTGTGCCCCAATACCATCCTTGAGGCTGTCCTGAAGCCCCCACCAACCTGATCCCAACATCGGGAAAGATCCTGGTACTCAGCCACCTCAGCCTCACCCCCAAACTTCTCATAACCTCAGTCTTCACACAGCCTGGGCTTCAGCCATGGTGATGTTCGTGTCACCCTCAAATGCCTCTCTGCAGGGAACCAGTGCTGTGGCACCTCCCCCGGCAGTGGGTGATTTCTAGGGTTTTGTTTGTTCCCTTTGTTGGTTGGTTGGAGGCCAAGGC